CCGTCTTGGGTTAGTCGGGCCTTGAAGCATGGGGTGTGATGCAGGGATATCAATTTGGGCAACAACAGAGCAAAAGTATGGAGCCAGTTTAGCCACGCTTAAAAGCCACCTTGCGTGGTGGCATGAGGCACGAAGGGAATATGCTACAGGCATGATGCTGGAATGAATTCACCCATCATTATGTTTAACTCTGTGTTATGAAATACCTTTAATCAGCTGAGCAGGAGCATGGCTTGATCCTGTCATTAGCAGAATTAACAGGCTCAAGGCCTTGGCTTCAGCTCCTTGCTCTGCCTCTGATTTCTCATGTCATTTTGGACAAGCCATTTAATATCTCACTGGCCTAACAATGTGCAGGTACTTTCCTACCTCCTCTCGGTCTTAGGACAGTACATCCTGAATAATGGAGGCAAGAAAAGTAGGCACCTTAGGCTAAGGGTAGCTCCTGTTTGCAAATGTTTGACATGTGTGCCTCTGGTTATGTCTCTCTCCTTGCAGGCAGAGATCAGAGCTAGGTTTGCCATCCGGCATCACAAGATGATATGAAAAATGCCATCTATTTTTCAGTAGGTAGGATGTAAAGCAAATGCTTTTGTTTCCTGTAGGACTGGTTGACATGTTAGAGAATTAGCTTCAGTCCTCGGTTTGCAAATGCTGAGTTGTTAAGTTCATGCAAGGGAGCGGAGCTGAGATTTCGTACTGTTGCTGGGAGCTCACCTTTTGTCATCAGCAGTAAACCGAGATTTTAAAGCAGTCAGACCCTCCAAGACCACATGATGGATCTCACACCTAAAACATGGCACGTCTGTCAAGTCTTGCTCTGAGAAGCTGCCTTGAAGATTGCAAATCCTCCTGTCCAGAATAGACAGTGCAAAGGCAGCAATCAAGGCAACGTGTGAAAAGCTTCCCTTTGCAACCTGCACAATTACTGACCTATTCAGAGAAACCTCCCCTTTTAGCTTTTAGCTCTGCTAAACAATTTACCCTGTCTCAGCTGTCTCACTGCATTATGTCCTTCAAACCCCCTAGAATTAACATTTGGAGCCAACAAACGCTGCTGGCTCCACAAGAAAAGCTGAGAGCGGAAAGGTCAGGCCGATTAAAGCAGTTGATCAGAATCTTTAACATAAAGACGTCACAGGCAAAACAGTAATGCTACTTCACGCTCAGCTAAGAGCGAGTGATTCATCAGGCAAGGCTGCTTATTTTTGGAGGATGGCCACAAAAGAGAAGCAACATGCTGGCTGTATCGATCACGGTTGTAACAGGGGACCGCAGAGCCCTTCCTCATTTTTGATGGAAATTTAATGTCAGAAATACATTATCCAATGTAAATATATCAATATATATTTTTCATCGAATGGATTTTAAAAACATTCTGGCCCAGCTTAGCAGAATCATTTCGTCTCTGCACAAATCTCAGCGCTGTCATTTAGAGCAAAAGGCTATTTTGCAATGCTCTGCACAGTCTGATGCTGCTGAAGGTGCAACCATTTTGCGAGGACTTTTGTAAAGGCGGCTGCAGGAGCAGGTGTGCTCTGAAATCTCCAGTGCTTTGGTCTAGAGGGTAGACCTTCAACGAGTGAAGTCTTACCGGCTTTGAGCAGATGCAGCCTAAATAATGCTTTCATCCGGCTTACTCCTGCTGCCTCCTGTGTCCAGAAATTATTGGAAATCCTGTTCGAGCAAGCACCACTGCCCGAGCAGCTGCACACACCTTGTGCTGCCCGCAATGCCTGCTCAGTCCTTAAGCAGAGAGCTCCTGCCTGCCCCCTTACAGCACCCCTCTGTCTACTCCTCGGTAAGAGCAAAGTGGGTCTTCACAGTGGGAGAGGCAGCAGGCAGAAGGGAGAAGCACGGGTTTGTACGTGGAGGTGGGATGAGCTGCCCTGGGAGCTGGCAGCCTGAGGAAGGGATCCAAAAATCCAGATTCAAACCTTGTGGCTCGCAAAGGGGGACCGTTCTGCTGTGACACCAGCCCAGCTGTTTCCCTCCCTCCTTGCCCTCCCCTTCCTTCCCATCCCTCCCCCAGTGCTAATAAATATATACTTAATTCCCACGGAGGTTTGATGTTAAGGCATAGAATTCAAAGTTTACAAGATAAATGACTGTGAGGAAAAACATGAAGCAATAGTTCAGGGAAGAAAACACAGCCAAAAAGAACAACTGGTAAAGAGAAGGAAATGGGAATTCCTGGAGGAAGGACCATTCCCCAGAGGAGCGTGTGAAGGGAGGGGGCAGAGAAGTGTCAGTGCAGTGTGGTGAGATGTGAGGGCAGGAGCCCCAAGGAGCATGCAGGAAGGCCCCTGGAAGAGAAGGAGAAGAGGGGTTAGTGCAGGTGACAACCTGGCAGGTAGGAGCAACTGTGCGGGATTGCAGGGGTGGGCTTTCAGGGAGGCAAAAGCCAATGGAGGACCCTTTGGGTTGCTGAACCCAACCCCTACGGTCTCTGGTGACAACAGCAGAGCTGCACGCTCCAGGAGAGTCGCTGAATGGACCATCACAGTGCCCACCCCAGCCCACAAAATGCCTCTCAGTGCCTTGTAGCGTACCTAAGACCTTCAGCATGCAAGGCCAAGTGTTGCATGCTGCAAGAAGAGCTCAAGAGAGCCTCTCCGATACTGTGGCTGGAGGGATGGGAGAGGAAATGACTTTAGCAGCAGTGTTTGGGATGCACTGAAGAGGGGAGGTTGAAGAAGAGTTCATTATAGACCCAAAGGGTACATCTGTATTGCATAATACAGTGTAGCGTGGAGGCAGTCGCAGCTCTCTATGCTTTGCCAGAGACTAATTCCTGGAAAGGGTAGCATAGCTGTACTCCTGATAGTCTAAACAAGCTAGTTCCTTCATGGCTAGTGCTCTCTGCACTACATTGCATAATGTAGATATACAATAAATTCCTGTCAATAAGTTTAAAATAATTCAAGGCAAGCTCTTCAGTGCCAAAACCATTGGTCAGCAAAAGCAAAGGAATAACAGCTGAGATGCAGAAGGAACACTCCTGTGCCAAAGGTGTGATCAGAAATGCCCCACAGAGAGCAATGCTTCACAGTTTTTTCCAAGGCTCATGTTTTCTCCGTAATGGTCTGGTACCTTTTGAGTCAATGCTCTCCTAATTTAGCCTGCAACATCATGTAGTACCCAACACACCCTCAATCTGCAATTGTGACTCTACCAGCCCCTCTACAGAATTAACTCAGCTCTGAATTAGTCATTTGACGTGCCAGCGCATATAGAATACACTCAAGTGAATCAGATTTTGTGTGCAAGGGCTGAATTGCAGTAAATACAGCGACTCGGAGAATCTCAGTCTGCATCTGGGCTTTCATGTCCAGAGGGATACATTTCCTCCAGTGGCTGTACAGCCTCTCTGAGCAGGATGGGCACACACACACACGAGCCAGGACTGAAACTCCCAGCACCTTCTGCCCTCTGCGGTAACGCCGATGTGGCAGTGTGGAGGCAGAAAAGAGAAACCCAGGGAAGGGCTGGAGTAAAAAAGTGCCCAATGACAGTAAAAAAAAAAACAAACAAAAACAAAGAAGACAAGAAAAATCTAAAAACATTCTCTTAGGCTGAGCGGCTTCAGATCTGAATGCCTATCGAGCAGACGCTGGGGGAGAGCACACACAGCATGTCAGCCTGCGTTAGGCTGAGGGAGCCTCACCCCATAGGCACTACATCATTTAGTGATCCCAGCAAAGGCAGGTATGCTGGAAACGCTACCTTTACTGGTCCGAGCCTAGTGCAGAAGGCATCCCCTTTGCAAGCAAGGAGCAGTGGACAAGATGCAGCCCCTCAGAGCTGTGGTGCTCTTGTGACAGCTTTGTCAGTGCCCAAGTCCCCCATCCTGAGCTAGCTGGAGTTCTGGGCTGTTAAAGCAGGAAAGCAAATATCACAAGTTTTAAAGGAATGGGGAAAAGTATCTTTGCACTGAAAAATGTGGTTGTGAGGTTTTGGTACTCCGATTTGGTAACAGCAATAGAAAGGTCCAAATCAAGCCAGTAGATTTTGAAGGTTCTTTTTAAAAAATACATGAAGGTGAATCGTGTTTGGGTTTGCTGTGCTGTTGACACAAACCAGAAAGGGGCACCTGGGAATGGAGGGGGAGAAAGAACTGACAAACTGGGGGGGAAGATGGGGAGGTAGAGAGGGGGAAGGGGAGATGAGGCAAGTATGGGCAGCATGAAAGAGTGACACCAAAACCAGGTAGCTTGGCTGGATAAGCTCAGATGTGGCACCTAGAGATGCCAGTGATGCCTGCAGCAGGGTATTTATGAAGGGATGTTGAGGAGGGAGATTCATCAGCGTGGAAGGGCGGAGGGTCTTGGCCCTGGTCCTGCCAGAGTTGGAGGAAGCCAGCTAGGTCATTCACCTTGAGGACAGTCCAGTTCAAGAAAACTTGGGGAAGAGTGAGAAGGGGAAAAAAGAACCAAAAAGAGATTTTCTCTTCACAAGGATATTACATTAATTTTCTCCCACTGTTCTGCTCCAGTGGAATCAGTAGTTACCAGAGTGTGTAACATCACTGGTAATGCCATGTTGGCAGTACATGTAATGTGAGGGATGGATTGTGAGAATTGAATTTTGGTGTTCGCTTTCTAGCACTTCTTTCGGGATGGAATCAGGGCACATCGCAAAACCATAAGGCCATCCAGGTTGAAAAGATGTGAGCTGTAATTTTACAAGTTTATTTGACTCGTATGAAATGGCTGTCAGTTGGGGCAGAGATGATGCTCATGAGTTTAGCGCTGGCACCTGAACTGGACCCGGTGGGCCACAAGCCTGAACTCCCAACTTCTAGCAAGTTGGTCTCCTGCAGGAGGCCACCTCTTTGGTCTTTTTTAGCCCAGACAAGCTCAGATGTGATCTGTACATCTACCCGCAATATCTCAGCTTTAATTATTAATGATAATCATAAGAACTGTGACTGGGCTGGTAAACTCTGGATTGGGCATAGTCCCCAAAGCAATCTAATCCTGATATTTCTTCCTCTGCAGGGGGTGGAGGGAAACGCAAAGGCAAAAGCAAAAAGTGGAAGGAAATCTTGAAATTCCCTCACATTAGCCAATGTGAAGATCTCCGAAGAACAATAGGTAAGACCTTTTCCCTTCTTTGAAAATAATGCATAAATAAAATGTGTTATCAAAACTGGCTCAGCAGAACAGCATTAAAGGTACTCATCATTAAACGGAATCAGTTCAGAGATGGGCATATGATGCATATACCTCACATGATGCTGCAGTGCAAACTCAACATTTTCTGGATCCTAAAGGGATCGGGCAGGAGGGACATAATGCACTTGCAAGGCAGGGTTTGGGACTAGCAATGGCCGGGCCCTTTGATTTGAATGCCCAGGCTCTAGGAGCCAAAGGGACTTCACTATTAGACAGTACCTGGCATATGGGGCAGGTGCTTTGACTTGGTACCTACCAGAGCCAACATGGCTGTAAAAGGACATTCAGAAAGTAATCCCCTCATCACATCCTGCATTCGCCTGTAATAAGTAGCTCTTTATCAGGTAGGAAATGAGACTTGATGAAAGCAGACAGATTGCTGATGTAGTTGAAGATTAATATTAATTATACTCCAGATATGATGTTTGAAGCAGCAGCCACTGCCCTCTGCCAGGCAGGTTTGCTCAGCAGTACCATCCTCTATTCAAGCCACAACACTACTTCATGTAGTTTTTTATAGGACATATACTTTTTTTTTTTTTTTAAATTACTTTGTTTTATCGATGTAGGCCAAACACTGCAGATTTTGAAGGGAGCTTGCAGTGGCCATTTCTGTAACACAGCATTTCTCCTGCACATACCTGCCAAAATTCAGCATTCTTTCAACTGTTGCCTTGGCAAACATGGCTAGCATCTATCTCCTTGTGAATTCTCCGCTGGAAAGACCACTATTACTGATCTCACCACAAGAGGTTAACGTCAGCAACTGAGGCTCCTTTTCTCCCCTACGCTGACATAAAATCCAGCCACTGGCAATGAATGAATGAAAGGCAAGAAACAGTAACAACTGAGATAGTGGGTAGCATAATTTGTCTAACTTGGGTGAGCTCCTGGGGCCTGACTGACAGTGCCCTGGCACTATGTACATCCAAAATTCACAGCGTGTTTATGCAGAGAAAATATGTGGAATGTTTTGGAACTCTTTTCATGGTCTCCTTCAGTAAATTTTGCTTCCCTCATCTTCTGCTGTAGAACTAAAAGGAGGTAAAGAAAGGAGGGGGAGGCAGGAGAAACGAGAGTATTTTTTTCCAATTTGTGGCTGCTCTACAGACATACAAACCCTGGAACAATTTCTGAAGGTACAGAACCTGCTGGAAGCAAAGCTGACTTACTCTATTGTAATTTGCACGGGGAATTCTCTCCATTGGTCCATCAACCTTGGTTCCTGTGGGGGAAAAGAGCACCAGATGAAATGCTTGCTCTTTACAGAGATGTAATATGCTAAAATCAGTAGTCTTAAAAAAATTAAGTCTGGCAATTATTTCTGTTTCTGAAATGCTGTTTCTGGCATAATTTTTTTTGTGTCAGATTTGTCCTAAATGTAATTTGTTTTGATTTATTTTTTTTTTTGTGAATGAGTTGGTGAAGTAATGGGGCAAGAGCCTTTGGGATGCTTTTGGTGGATCTGGCTTCACTGCAAAAGTTACCTGTTGACTGAGAATTCTAGCAAGTGACTTTTACACAATGGGAAATAAGGTCCAAATCTTTGTTCCATGACTCTGATTTTTATTGAGTAACTTTCCTGCTGAGCTGGATGTGATTAAACAAGGAATGAGGCACTGCTCAGCCTGAGTAAGGTCATCTGTCCTTGCTGGCTTTGCCATTTTTCAGTTGATCTAGCTGAAGTTGAAACGTCTCAGACAAACAGTCCCTGTTTATAAACTTCTCCTTGCTCATACAAGGGATCTGACACATGTGGGATGAGCCAGACTATCTGGGTCTATAGCACGGAGTCGTTTGCATGTCTGTGGTTGATCCAAGGTGCTCAGGATGGATCTGTTGCACCTGCAGATCCATTACACTGGGTTCAGTGTGGCTCACGGACATCCAGGGCCAAGTACCAGTCATTGCAGTCTGGCCTTAAACCACTTCTTTTATCGTCTCTGCCAAGAAAGAACAACTCCCTTGGCTTTAACCCATCTTCATTTGTTATTTTCTGCAAGTTCTTTATAAGGATCTTGGGATTTCAGGTCACAAGGTGTCTCCGCAGGTGATTTTGTGAGGGAATGTACTGACACAGCCTTCTTAAACCACTGGTCAGCTGCACTGCTCTATGACTTGCAGGGGATCCTATTGCTTGCTCTGCCCATCAGTCCCTCCCCTAAAAACTTCTTAACCCACTGGTCACCGCAAATCGAATTTGATAATGAAATAAAGCCCCCAGAGAGGTTTTTTTTCTTCCAATCTCTACGGCAACCAGCAGAGAACAAATTTATACAAGGAAAAGGCTACAACCTCAGTTCAATGTGTTTAGAGATCAAGACAAATACTGGTAGGTTCTGCTCATCACAGACCTCTTTGCTCTGTGTCAGCCTCCCAGCACTTTTGGTCAGACACAGTCTTCCCACGTTGCCACATGTTAAAGAAAAAAATCACGCCGAGTCTTAGAGGGTTGCATGGACTGGAAGACTGGGCTGTTGAGGTTTTGTTGTACTCCTCTTCTCTGGATGCTTCCCAAAAGCCGCTGTGGAAAAGCTGGAGGCAGGGATGAGATGGACCTTCTGCTTTAGAGTGGGCATAGACTGCTGTGAAGAAAGGCACGGCTCAGTTTAACGCAGCCGTAAGCCATTGATGGAAAATGCTGCTGTTGTAATTGTGGCAATACAGCCTACGTGTGTGTGTAGATGCCCACATTTTGGTGTAAAAACGGGTGTGCTTTTGCACCCCACTAAGGTGTACTGAAAAGAGTCTGTGTCTTAAAAAAAACAGTGTAGCGTGAAAAGAAATCTGTGAAAAACAGGAAGGCTGAAATAAACCAAGGGTCTGCGACCTGTGTTGACACAATTATGAGTCAGTTCATACCTTTTGGTTCCCTCTGTGTTTACAGGAGACTCTGTGTTTGACTATCCATCATCTGGTGTCTTACTGAAAGACTTGCTTAGTGAAGCCCTTTTTTCCCCTCCTTCTTGTGCACAGAAACAAAAATCAAAACACCCGAGAGAAACACCATGTTTTGATAAATGAACAAACACTGGAAACATCTTTATTAAAAGTGCCATTTAGGCAAGGAGCTATTTTTTTGGATTGCGCTTAAAAGCAACTTCTTTCCTCCTTTCTTTTTCATCCAAAGTACGCAACACCTTTTGCAGGGAAATTCAGTGGCCTTTATTGTGTGCTAATCAAATAGGCAAGTGGAACAGGGATGCTCCAGTAATACCTTTACTGGGCTCTGAGAGAGGCTTGTATATGTATACTTGTATACTATGAATGGCTAATGTATGTTTCTATTTGCAACCCTCTTCCCAGCTGTATTTAATTATATTAAAACAACTAGCCCTTTCCAGGTTAATATTGCCATTAGCAGCCCTTTCAATCAGTGTTTGAGACACTGGTGACAATGACTTATGTGGTGGATGCTGCTAGTAGATGGTGTTCTGCTACCTTATTCACAGACGATAGCTTAGCAAAAGAGAGATGTTTCACGGGACTGGAAAAAATAGCACGGTGCAGCTTTAAAAATTCCTACATTTGACAAACACGGCATGGAGTGATGCCACAAGTTAGGGATACCCGCTATTTTAAAGGCCATCAGTAAACAAAAATATAAGAAAAAGTTGTAATTTTAAAGGCCGGAGTGTCTTTTTGATGATAAAAGATTCTGGATGTCTGTAAATATTTCTGAATGACGCAAAAGGTTCTGTTGGTTAAAAGTGTGGAATTTTTATTTATTTTGCTCAGACCCATTCTGTGCTTTTTTTCTTCCATAAAAAAACCTGCTTGGGTGAAAGAGTTGATTATTCTGATCTTTGGCAAATTTTCTTTCGCAACTGTCCAAATGCTATATAATAAATCAAGATATTTTTTTTTTCCCCATAGATTGAAGTTTGTGGGGAAACTGCCACAGAATGTGCTGTTTGTTGCATAGAGTGGTTTGTTGCATTATTGCAGAAAACTTTAACTCCTTCAGTAAAGCAGTTTCTGGTTGTGCATCGTACTCGGGTAGAAGGAGAACTTGTTAAATATTTATATTCAGTGAGATTTCACAGTCAGAAAGAGCAGCCCCATTAATACTAGTTTTGCCATGCTTCATTTAAAAAGAGAAAAAAAATCCCCCCTGTGCCGTTTAACCTCTTACGTGACATTTGTGTCCCGTTTATGCGGGGTAAAAGTAGCATGAGCTTCCAATTCTGGCAGGTTCTTTACAGCATTGTTAAAAATACACTTCTGTGTGAGAAACGCTTTGTAGAGATGGTGAACAGAGTAAGTGGGACAAAATCAAAGCCACAGAGTTCACCTGCTCACTTTTTACAAAAGCTGGCTCTTCCCCCCCCCGCCCCCCCC